TCAGCTGCGGGCTTCTTTTGTGTCGTCGTGACATTCCGGGACAACGCCGGGTGACATATTGCCCACTTGAGGACTGGAGGAGTTGTTTAGAGGCTTTTCCAGCACGGAAAGGCTTTTCACTTTGCCTTTCACCGTCGCTTGTGTTCCGCCGCGTCGTCCACTCTCAGCCTCTGCGCCTGGGTGCGCGGGCGTGTGTGTGTGCGTCTGGGTGTAGAAGTAGGGACGGAGAGAAGGGGGTAAGGGCGGCTCCTCGAGCTCCAAGAAAGGAAAGAAAAGACGGAACAAAAATAAATGGCTTTTCAGAATAATGGAACTTTAAATGTTACGTTTTCAATTTCCCCTCACTTTTTGTTTGGCAGACATTCCAAAAGACAACCCGACGATCAGCGGCCCTGAGCGGCAGCACCAGGTCGGCGACAACATCGCCCTCAACTGCACGTCGGGGAAGTCACACCCCGCGTCCAAGCTGCAGTGGTTCATCAACGACCAGCTCGTGAGTACCTCCATAATTCATCATTTATTTATTTCCCTTTTACAGCAGATTTTTTGTTTGTGTGTGTGTGTGTGTGTTACTCGGCGCTATTTGGATTCGGGCCGGGCCAATGCGGATCTCCATATATGAATCAAACAGTCTATTAGTGCTGGCAATGAATCCAACAGATCGGTATCACGGCCGAGAATTTATCTGTGGCGCGGGAGCCAGCCCAGAAAGAGGCGGCGCAGCTGCTGCCAAGTATGGTCCCTCTCTCTCTCTCTCTCTCTCTCTCTGTCTCTCTCCGACCGGCCTCATTATGTCAGCACCAATAACACTGCTATTGGAATCCCATTTGAAGGCGGCCACTTGTTTACGTGTGCAGACGTCATCCCCGTAATCCCCGCGGCGGCAGACGGCGCCACGCTGGGCTGGGCTGGCTGTTGGGCTGGCTGCTGGGCTGGCTGTGGGGCTGTGGATAATAATTACGCCAGAGTCGTTGCGCCGACCCCTTCCGGAAGGAGCGGGAGGGAAGTGGATCCGACAACAGTCGTGTCTTTCTACTCTTTTTTGTTGCTTTCCCTTCCGTTATTATTTGCACACCCCCGCTGCGCGCGACGATCTCGTATTTTCGTTGAAAAATAAAACACAATCCAGATGACAATAATTTCTCCATCTTTTTCTTCTGAGACTTTTTTGTTTCTCGTCGTGACCGCGTGACTCCGGATGCTCTTGTCCAGACGTGTGCCGCCTAGCCTCGCCGCAGGGCGCGGGGCGGACGCGGGGCATAAACAACTCCCAACACCAAGCGGCCCTGGCCATTTTTCTCGACGGGCGCGCCGCTCCTTTCTGTTATTTATGAGAAAAAGCGAAAGGCCAGGAAGACGGGGAAATATGGACGACCTGAAGACGAGGAGCAGAGGGAGCCGCCCGGGTGGAGGGGTAGCGAGCGGGGCGAGCGGGGAGGGGAGGGAGCGGGTGCATCATATTTGCTGGCCGGGACGCCCGGCCGCGGAATTTGACATAATAATTATTACATGGCCGCTTTACGTGCCGAGGGTGGCGCGCCGAAATGGGGGTCGCCACCCCTCTCCATCTCTCTTTATTTCTCTCTTCTGTCCCCCTCTCCGCCCCCATTCTCTGTCCCACTCGCTCTCTTCCTTTTTTTATTTAAACTTAATGCAACCCCTAGCCGTCGAGACAGACGCGTATATCAAGGTCATCTCTCGGGCAAGGCTAGCAGGGGTGGTGGTGGCCCCTGTGGCGTTAAGGTGTAATCATCATCGTCGTCCCTCTGCTTTATACATTTTTTCGTACTTTTTAATGATATCACTTTATCTTATTGCCCTCAAATGAAACTTCACAATTTCTTTTAATTATCACTGCGAATACTGTTATTAAAGCTAAGATTCTTGCTGCGCACTTGTTCGGTTCTTCTCTGTTGTCCTTTGCACCGGTTCGATAGTGAGAGAGAGAGTGAGAGAGAGAGTGAGAGAGAGAGAG